GTTTAATTAGATGTTGTGTTTAGGAAAAATAAATGGCTGTCAAAAGATTCCATTGGACTTGGATTTGAATTTATGACATTGGACTGAATGTTAATTACTTCGACTGGTGTAAGTGGTTTGAAGTTTGTAACCAATCTAGATAAATATTAGGGAATTTTTAGAAAAGATTTTTCAGAAAAAGATTGTTGTTGACCAACAAATAGCTGGAATCGAACATTGTTATATTTTATGAAACAAAGATGGTTGAGCATGTTTTGTCACATATAATTTCACGAGAGTAAGACCATAATTTGTTCCAAGAATTGACTTGATAATATTGAAAAGGAATAAGTTTTTGTGATCTTTAATTCTGTTGAGTTGTACTAGGGAGTAGCCAAAGTCTTGTTTCTATTATCATTTAATATTTTGAGACTAAAGCAAAGTTAACTCGAGGTATGATAGGTACATTCTCAACTATAGTACAAAACAGGGTAATTGGGTTGGATCTTTTCATGTTTGTTTTGATTTCATGCATTAAGTTTTAAATAGTTTTAACTTTAATTTTCTTTTCTTCTATTCTATTTTTTTTCTTTTCCAGTTTAAATCTTCTTGTTCTTTCTTGAGGAAAAGAAAGGTTTAAGCTTGGGGAGATTTGTTAGGTGCATTTCATGCATTCATTTTTTATAGTTTTAGTTCATAAAAGTGCATTACATTTAGGTTTAGACTCATGCATTTTGTATAATTTCGGGATTTTTCATGATGCAATTCCATTCACACGCTTTTAGGATATTTCAGGGACTTATGAAGGTTGGATCTTGTTGGAGGAAGTTATCAAGAGTTGGAGACAAAGTTGTAGAAGTTTTGGAGCTTTGAAGAGAGAGAATGAAGAAATGAAGAATTTGGCTTCACAGGAGTTTACACGGCCGTGTAAATGTATGCCTTTGATTTACACGGGCCGTGTAAACGTATATGCAAGGACATTCTACTTCGAAGACCTGGAAGAATTAAGCATTCTACTTTTCTTGTTTACACGGCCGTGTAAATGGAACCTTTGATTTACACGGGCCGTGTAAACGTCTCGGCAGTTTTAAAGTGGTTTTGTCTTCTTATAATTCAGACAATCAGTTTTTATGGAAGTTAGGTCGGATTTTGGGAGGAGAGAGACGATTTTCAGAGCTTTGGCAAGTAGATTAACACTTGGATAACACTTTAATTTCTTTTTGTAAGTCAATTTGAAGTTTAAACTTGTTTAATTTGTAGTCCAACCTAGATATGTGTGGTTGATTTTATTATCATTTCCGAATCTGAATTCTTAAGTATGTGTTGTTAGGCTGTAACTTGAATTTGACTTATGTTTAACATCTAGTAATCTTTGATTTGATCTTAATCATGTGTTTGGTTAGTTCTCTTTTTCACTTGATCAATGAACTAGGGTTCTATTCAATCTAGTTAATCAAATCATGAAATTCGTATATGTTTTATGATTTGATGTTAGTAACATCACTTACTTGGTTGTAATTAGATCAAAATTAGTGCAATCAAAGATTAAATGTTTATATTCCCAAGCTTAAGAGGAATGTTAAAAATTGTTGGTAATTAGTGCAAGAACCTAATGTCATTTAATGATTTAATGCAAGAGCTTATTTGGGTTGAATCAATTAAATGAAATTTTATTTAAAGAGCTTATTTTGAATAAAATACTTTTGCCAATTTGGATATTAGAGTTTACTAATATCCAACTTACCAACCTAGATCAAACATGAGTTATAATCATATTACATCTTTCAACATAATACATATATAAGAGTCAGAATCGGAAATGTACTTCTTTTACTGCGTTTGTTTTCAATCTTTCTTATTTATGAAGTTTAATTCAAGTTTAAATACAAACCCCCATTTCAATATTACTTGTATTATGTGTGAAAATATGGCAAGATAAAAAGTCCCGTATCTCTGTGGACCGACCCTGCTTACTCTATAATATCTTTAGTATTAGAAAAAGCAATGATTTGAGTTATATTAATATTATTTCATCCCATCATTTGTTGGTTTGACACCCAAACACCTGTCTAGTTATTATTATTATTATTATTATTATTATTATTATTATTATTATAATAACCAATGGAATTGACGTCTGTTTTGCGAAGATGGAGGAAGCGGTGAATACGATGGCAACAATGTCCCATCAAGCGCATATTCAAAGAGGCCTTCATCTTCTTTAATGACCACAAATCCAGTAAAGATGACGAATGTATATTTGCATCTGGCTTGATATGGAGTATTGTTGCGATTGTATTTGATGTTCTACATCATCACAAACAAACTCCTATTCCCTTCGTTATAATAATATTCATGAATAATAAAATTATTTTAATAAATAATAAAATTATTATAATAATAATATTATTTTAAAAAACATGGATGCAATGTGTACAATGAGTATGTTTGACAAGCAAAAACTAACCGAAATTATACATTTTATTTGTATATGTGTTCGGCAAAAATAATTGGAAACTTCTAAAACATGTAAAATTACACAAAAAAATTTATCTAAAACATGCAATTAATTTAAAAAATGGTAATTAAGTCGATTTGCAAAATTACAAAAGCAATTTTTATTAAGGATGTGTTTGGCGCCCCATAGCTAACTTATTTTTTGAGTTTTTTTTTTAAATTGTCATGTTTGACAAGTCAAAACGTAGCTTATAAATTAGCTTTTCAAAAAGCTACTTAGACTAGTTTTTTAAGAGTTTTTTTTTTTTTTTTTTTTTTTTTTTTTTTTTTTTTTTTATAATTTTCCAAATATACTCATTTATTAATTATAAAAACACAAATTTTTAAATGTTTTTTTTTTTTTTTTAATTTTCCAAATATACTCATTTATTAATTATAAAAACACAAATTTTTAAATGTCATTTCATATTTTTCAGCTAGTTTTATAAAATATCATTTTTTATCATTTAACTTTTCAGCTAACAGCTAGCTTTTTAGTTTTTCAGCTAACAACTACCTTTTCCATTAGTATACCAAACATAGCCTAAACTTGAAGTAACTTTTGGATTTAGAGCTTTTATTTTAACCATGGTTGTAAAAATCGGTCTAGGCGGCCTGTAACTGCCTACGAATAGGGGTTATAGGGTTAAGCTAGGCGGAATTGGTCAATATCGGTCGACACCGGCCCAACTCGGACCAAATCGAACCAAATCAGTCCAAGTCGGACCTAATCGGTCCAAAAGACTTTAAAAGACCCACCAACTTATGGAGCCGGCTTGCCTAAAACATAAATGTGTTTGTTTTCGTAAGGAGGATTCCCTTTATATAGAGTATTTTTTCCCTAATAGAATGTTCCAACTTCGATGTGGGATGCTCAAACTTGTACTCTTTCATATATGTTCTTTGCATCTCGTTCTTCCCCCAATTTTCTTGATGGCTCGTCTCCTCCCCTGCTCGACTAATCCTCCCCCTGATGAAGTACCAGAACAATCGACAATAAATAATCGCTTAATCTGGAATCAAGAATCGTCTTCTGCCACGAGTTCTCAAGTACCGACTCTGCCATTGTTTTTTCCCACGAGCTCTCAAGTACCGAACCCAATCAACAATCAATATTTGGGTATTCTAGAAAAGATTATTGAGGAGGAGATTAGGTCGAATCGAGGTTATGTATGCAATAATTGATGAGTTATTTGCTTAATTTTTTCGTGTTGTTGTCGACTTCAATGGATGCTGACTTAATTGTCGATTGGTTATGATTCTCGATTCATCTTAACTGAACGTTCTTTCTTCCCTTGACAAGGTTGATATATTATAGATACGTTCAATCCAATTTCATTTTTCATGTTTCTATTGTTGATCGAATTAACATTCAAACTCAATAATATTTCTGCAAACCATATCTGATTTCAAGCTCGCCTTCCATTTGTTCTAAGGTGCTTGTATTCGATTATCAAACCTCTTTATATTTAATTATCAAACTAAATTATCAAACCTATGCAACTGGACGATAAAATGGGACACTATAACTGATCCTGGGTAAATTTTCTAGTTTCATCAGTTCAAATCGGACACTACTTTTCATGTCCGCCATGTGTTCGATAAAATGCTCAAATGAAGTTCTCAAATGCTGCCCGCAATGATATTGGGAAATTTGACATCTTGTTATGCATTAGGAACAAATTTGACATCATGGGTTTTTGCAACTAAAGTACCACAAAATCAATTATCAAGAATGAAAGAGAAGTCACTGGATATATGCAGCCTTCAACATCAACATCCAAATTGCTATAAGAAATTGATAATGAAATTTAAATGAAGGTAATGATTTTGATGATTATGATGAAGGTGGAATCATGTTTGAAGTTGTGGATATGGAAAAATTGATGTCTGATATTTGAAACATGCCGGATAATTTGAGGTTGATACCTTATTTTTTAGAGAAGAGAAATGGCTACAAATTTGGCCATGAAAATGGCTTTAATGTTTGGAGATAGTTATATTTATTAAATTTTTAATAATTTTGTTCATTTATAATGTTATATTTAATTTTATATTCTTAGGATTAATGTTATATTTATTAATTTATTAATATTTTTAATAATTAATGGTTTCCGATTAATCCCCGCCTAGCCGATTGATCCACTGATCCCAGTCCACCGATTAACCCACGTCGAACGATTTATACAACCTTGATTTTAGCTAAAATCTAGAAGTTCCTACTACCGAAAGAACATAATTTTTTTTTTTGATTTCAGTTTTTTTTTTATTTTTATTTTTATTTTTTTTTTAAAAAACTAAAAGCTCCTAAAAAATGTACGTACAACACCACCCATATGTACACTTTTGCCGCATTGAATGTCAAAATGGCTTAAATAAAGTGCCAATAATAGTTTATTGCCTTATTAGATACATGTAAAAAAATTATCATCTTAAAAAACAAAATCACAAATTGACTATTATTTAAATTCATTTTATGACATTAACCCCATTATTTATTCCAACTATAGCGTTTCACTAGTTTGTTACTTAAGAACAGGGATGCTTTGTTCATGACGGAAGAAGTTTGAAGGGTCAAACTTGGTCTTGATTTTCCTCAACTTAGAAAAGTTATCTTTGAAGTAGTTAATTCCCCAATTAACATTACTTTTCTCGTTTATTCCAAGATCAAGATCTCTGTAATTCACATAAGCTTCTCTTGGGGACTTTGAAACATACTTTGTCATATACTCATAAACCTTCCGATTCATACTTACATACTTGTCCTCCATTCCAGAATCCATCCACGAGCTATAGTACTGAATCTTAAAAAGAATTCCGTTCCTATGCGGAAACGGAATAGACGATTCCGAAATCTTGCTCATGATTCCGCCGTACGGGTTCCAAATGATAAAAGGACTTCCTTCTTCCAACATTATTTTCCATAATCCTTCTAACCCCGATTCCGGTATCACTTCCTTCACAAAATCCGATTTTGCTTTGAAATAATTCAAAGACCTCGGTTTTCCATCAAGGAGGACAGATGGCGGGGTGTTTAAAGGGTACGCCCCGATAAACATAACCGACTCAATCCAACTCATTTCTATCAAATCCTCCTTTTTTACTCCTAATTCAGGAAAACCCGCGTTCATAATCTCCAACAGTCTGTCTCCCATACCGAGAAACAACGCTTGATAAGTTGTAGTTAGTGTTTTATCACTTGTACGACTAATAAAGGCTCTGACAAAAAGATCCTCATCAAAATTTGATGCCACTTGTTGCCATTTGTAAAGAATCTTGGCAGCGCCTTGTTCCAATGTTCTTGGAACATTGAAAACAGTGACAGTGGCAGGGACAGATACAAGTTTCAGTTTCCATGAAACAATAATTCCGAAACTACCCCCACCACCACCGCGTATCGCCCAAAAAACATCCTCCCCCCATCGATTTTCGATCTAAAATTTTTCCGTTTGCGTTAACAATTCTTGCATCTATCACATTATCCCCCAAAAGCCCGTATTTCCTCATCAACGACCCATACCCTCCCCCCGAGACAAGTCCGCCCACCCCCAAACTCGTGCAAATACTCCCCCGGAATCCCAACCGTTTTGCTCTTCTCCGCCACCCGATAATAAACCTCACCGATTGTGGCCCCCGCTTCAACCCAAACCGAATTATCCGCCAAGTCAACGTTGACCGCTCTCATCTTTGACAAGTCAATAACAACAAACGTGGGACCCATAACGGATGTGTAGGACACTCCTTCATAATCATGCCCACCACTTCTAAGCCGGAGATGAATCCCGAGTTTTTTAGCGCAAATAACCGCGGTTTGGATGTGGGATTCGTTTGATGGGGTGAAAATGGATTCGGGTTTTGGGGTTGATTGGGTTGTGAATCTGAGATTTATGGCCCGGGAATTGAGGATTGAGATGAAGTTAGTGTCGTTTTTGGTGAAGAAAGAGTTGGGGGTTTGGATGTTCGAAAGACATTGATGGAAAGTTTCTTGAATTTGTTGTGAAGATGAAAATGGAGTTAGTGATATAAGAAGTACGAGAATAAATCTAGAAGAAGGCATTTTTTTTCCTGCATGTCTTGAATAGAGATATGGGTGTTTCAATTTATATTCACTTAGGTTTGATGAAATCAATGCAGGAGTTTGACATTTTAGTCTTTATGACGTTGGTGTCGTTAAGCATTTGCTATGTTTAGAGTATCTCCAAACCATAACGACACACTTGCAATGGTCAAAAAAATGGATCGAATAATACCAAAAAAAGTATGTAACTAAAAAAAGTATATAACTAGTATATCTTTTGTAATTTATGTAGATTATTAAAATCATTATTTACATTAAATATTTTAAAAATATGTATGTTTTTGTTATATTAACTTTACAAATTGTATGTCCATAAAGTTATAACAAAATATTTTTCCCTATCTGATTAGCTTTAATTGATTGTAATTTTATTAAATCAACTTTTTATGAAATGAAAAAAAATATTTATAACACACTTTAAATACATATAACACCATGTATTTATAAAATATTAAGAATATATATGAAAAAAAAAAAATCTATGGGTCGTCTTCTATTAGATTTTTTTCTTAACAACCACAATATGTTACAAACAACCAGCTAGGTGCTAGAATATTACAAAATACAAAAATGATTCCATGAGATTATTAGTAAATTATACATGTTGATTTTATGTGTTATTATAACCTGATTTTATGTGTTATTATAACCATCACCTTGCAGGCACATCAGAATAAGGCTTGGGCTTCTATATAAGAGAGTTTCAAGTTCAAATCGAGGGTTTCAATCAGGTCTTGACTTAGACAGAAATGTAAAGCAAGACGTTTTTGTATTTTCATCAAAGGTTGAACAATTCTTGAGAGCCGATACTAAAAACGAGAATATCTTTTAAAAAATGCATATGTTGTATACTATTTGTATGGTAAGATATATGTCACTAATAAGTTTTTATAAAAATTGTCATGGTCTTTATATTTTAAACATATTTAAAATTTTAAATAATTTAAACCATAAAAATTAATTTTTATTTTTAATGATCAATTAATATCAACTAACAGATAACATAATATTACACCTAATAATTATTATATTTAAATTATAGTTAGTCAATTAAAATAATTTAGAAATAAATAATATAAATTTGAGGAGCTAAATTTACAAAACTTTGATACCATTTTATGTAAAAGAATGACACAACATCAAATTTATTTTTATAACATAATTTTTTTTTGAAACGACAAATAATTTCAATATCTCATTGTCTGGAATTGAACTTAGAACCTCCTAGTTAATTGTTAGATTAGAAACCTCATTGTTAACCAAATGGGCTAACATCAAATTTATTTTGATATCAAAATGGTGGAAACGTCTCGGTAATCTTTTATTATCATAACATGGTTTTAAATAAAATTTAACTGGTATCGATTTCCAAAGAAAGAATACATGCTTTTGCATATTTGAGATTAATAGACAAACCCAAAATCTAATAAATATATCTTCATTATGTGACAATCACACGATTGTAAGTAAGATTGTTTTTGGTCTTAATTATAATTGATTTTTTTGCAATATTAGTTCCAAAATATGGTCATCGTACTTGAGAAATGACTAAAAGCGTTAAAGAAAATCTAGGGATGTCAACGGAGGCAAACGGGAGCGGGAATAGGTGCCCCGCCCCCGCCCCCGAAATCAATTGTTACCCCCGCTCCCGCTCCCGCCCCCGGTTCCCCCGTTTACATAGCCCCCGGTCCCACTCCCGGTTACCTCCGTCGCCCCCGGTCCCGCCCCCGTTCCCCCGGTTCCCCGACTTAAAATTGGGTTTTTTTTTTTGCTAAAAAACTGTTTTATTTTTGGCAAAAATACTATTTTTAATAAATTTAAAAGCCTAAAACCTAATCTTTTAGAAGCTAAAAAAATTAAAAATCCAACAATTCCATCAATCTTACAATCTTACAAAAATAAATCCAACAATCTTACGAATACAAATCTAACATTACAAATGCAAAATACGACAAATCCAAAATGACAAATATAAAACACAATTCACTACATCTTCAGTATCCGTTAATTTCCTTCAACTCTTCATTCATTGATATTCGAATATCCTCCCTAAATAAATAAAAAAAAAAATAATAAAATAAATTATTGTATTAGTCTATTCAATAGAAAACGACAAATTGAACAATCGTACCTCAAGTCCCTCATCGTCTTCATCGGAATGTACATCATCACCATCAATAACACAACCTAAGAAAGAAAAAAAAATAAAGGTAATAAGCATAATATATTAAAATGAATTAGAAAACAATGGTTCAAGCAAATTCATACATACCTTTTTTACCCGCCCATAGCCAATTTTGAGTGCATATGATAGCTTCAATTGTTGACGGAAGAAGTCTACTCCTATGTGGACTAACGATTCTACCACTTGTAGAAAAAGAAGACTCTGAAGCAACAGTGGAGATAGGAATGGCTAATATGTCTTTTGCAATCAAACACAATGTAGGATACTTAACCCCATTTAACTTCCACCAACCTAACAAATCAAACTCATGAATTCGGGGTAAAGTGCCAACCTCTAAGTATCTTTCTAATTCATTTTTCACAAAAACTTCACTAGTAGCAGAATTCCATGAAAAGAAAACATCTAATGAGTCCATGTCACTTGCGAGAGCTGCATCTCGACTAGAAGTGGGCTTAGTAGTAATATCATCATTACTTGCTTGACTCATAACACGTGACTCATATCGCAAATATATATCTTCACAAATTTGACGCACTTTCTGAATTTCATCTTTTGCATTATCTACTCCATAGATAATAGGAAAAAAAATACTCTAAGAGCTTCATCTTAAACCTTGGATCCAATATTGTCGCCATAGCCAACACCCCGTGACTTTCATTCCAATACTCGTCAAACTTTGTAATCATATTTTTGGACATTTCGCTTATTTCAATGAAACTAGATGTATCCCATTTCTTTAGAGCAATCTTTATTTCACATATTTTGGGGAAAAAAATGTTGGTTGTTGGATATTTTGTTCCCGAAAATAATTCAGTGACATTATAAAAGATTTTTAGTCTATCAACAAAGCTCACTTGCCAAAGCCCACTCTTTCTCATCAGGTGCATTCTTATATTGGGGCTCACGTTGTTGTAACCGATAAAACACCTTCTTGTATTTCAAAGTCGTGGAAAGCATTAAATACGTAGAATTCCATCGTGTTTTACAATCAACAACTAGGTTTTTTTCACAAGAAACATTCTCGCACTTTGCATTTTTTTGAAATGTATCATGTCTTTTTGGTGTAGCTGTCCAAAAACTACAGCTGTTACGCACTTTCTCAATCCCATGTCCAAAAACATCCAGCCCACTCCTCACAATTAAATTCAAAATATGCGCAGCACATCGCATATGAAACAAGCTTCTACCCAAAATCAAGTTATCAAAAGGTAGTTTGTCTACCATCAAATCTATCATGCAATTATTTGTTGAACAATTATCAACAGTTAAAGTTGATAATTTTTTATCTATGTTCTAGTCCAACAAACTATTCATCAACACATTAGTTAGTTTCTCAGCAGTATGGGGGCATGACACATATATAAACCTACCAGTTAACAAAATAAATTCAATTTAATTAAAGAATGCATACTGATTGATTAAAGAAATCAATATAAATTAAGTATTACCTTAAAAGACGACTTTGTAATTGCCAAGAATCATCAATGAAATGGGCTGTCACTGTCATGTATCCTTTTTTTTGGTAGTTGGCAGTCCACATGTCGGTAGTTATTGCAATCCTACCTTGAATACTCTCCAAAAAATGCATCATCCTTGTCTTTTCCTCTCCGTACAACTTCATGACATCAGAGCATGCAAATCTCATTATGTTTCCAAACATGTTATGTAGAGCATGCAAATCTCATCATAATCACAGGGGCAATTTCATATATTTCTCGTATAAACATTTATTTATTTAAATAATTATTTAGTGATTAATGTAAGAACAATTTTTTGTATCAGAAATTTGAAGATGAATAACTTAAAATCATTGGAACCAATTTCAAATCTCCGGTTTCAGCCCCTAAGGTAGTGGTTTAATCTGGATTAAACCAACAGTGCAAGCATATTTTTTCTGCCCTAAGCCCTAAGGTTCAGATACTGGATACAATCATATTGGATACAATCATACAGGTTTGAAATTGGTTGCAGAAGGGTAAACATTACCGCTGGTCCGCTGCCTGCCTTGTTCGTTGCCTAAGAGTCGGGAAGAAATTGGTGCGACGCTGCCTCGTCTTCAGTCTCCCGATTTCAATTCCTCATTCGTCGCTCGGAACTTGGATTGTTGCTCTCGGTCGGAATTTGGATTATCGCTCAAGTCACGGTCAGAACTCGGTCACAACTTCAAGCCTTCACTTGGTCACAGCTTCACTCTTCACACTTCAATTCTTCATTCGTATAAGGAGAAATCATCTAATCGAGTTATGGAGTAATTCTGTAATTGAGTATTGTGTTGTGTATTGACGGAATTTGGAACCGACGGAAATTGGAACTTGGAAGTTCGAACACAGAAAAGTTGAAGGGGTCTGCGGCTCTACGCCTCTGCGGTCAAGTACTCAAGCGGTCAAGCCCTAATTGCCAAAATTTCTTATTTTAAATTAAATATATATTTTTTTATTTAAATATAAACGGGGCCCCCGCGGGAGTACGGGACGGTAAATATAAACCGGTCCCGAAAATAAACGGGAGTTAATATCGCCCCCGGTCCCGCTCCCGCTCCCGAATTTTTTTAAAAATTAGTCCCGTACGGTATCGGGGTCCCACGGCGATTTTTGACATCCCTAAGAAAATCTAAAATAATGACTAAAATTATAGATCAACTTTACAAAATTCAATGAAATTCAAGACCTAATACAAATGTTCCATAAAGTAAATAATAGATACGATATTACGCTTAAAGTGAACCACTAAATATAACTTTGGGCCTCTAAATTCAGCAATTATAATTTGAAATTTGAAACATTAAATCTTATAC